CTGATTCCCTCCAGAGAGCAAAAACAGAGCATTTTTTAAAGTTCTTCTGTCAGTGGGAAATGCATCATAGAAATCATAACCCAAGGAAATGTTGTGTAGCAAATGGGGGCTCTTATTGATCTCATCAATGGCAAAGTAAAAGGCCAATGCATATTGGTAGTTCTTCCATGTGAACCTAAACAGAAGGGGACAGCATTAGATAATACAGTCAAGTCATTTGATCCAGGGGGAACTCTTCAGCCAAGCCATAAGTCACACAGGTTTAGGCCTAGGCTACCATTCAGAGATTTCCCTGTACTGGTACATGCAGCTGGTGGGAGCAATGGTTCCAGGGCTCTAGAAACCTTGAAATGTTTTTCTCTTTCCTTAAGCCATTTTTTCCAAACAATGAAGAGAGGTTTTGAGGGCCTTGTGAGTGAGATGAGGCCCATCCGTTCAACTGGAAGATGACACTGACACCTAAACAGAGGTAATTTTAAAGGAGGATTATTAATGCATGGGGAGGACAACATTTTTTTAGGATGGAGTACACACTTTCATCATTTTTTATACTTTTCAATAGTGTATACATAGGCAAATTGCAGATATGTATACTTATAAATTACAAGGTAGCTTTAGGATTTTAAAATAAAGCATGAAACAATTGGACTAAGATAGTTTACATGTATATCACTTGAAATAGTTTATATTTGCTGTAAGGAGAACATTAGTATCATACTCCCTTGGAACTATTAAAATGAATATTACTCAATTATGAATTACATTTTCCATGGTTGCACTCACCTTCATAACCCTTGTATAAGTGAATGAATCGCACATGTCATCTTGATTATATGTATGTCAATAAACCATGACTGAGTATTTCATATTTCCCTATGTCTGGAACCTGAAAATAGCATCTGATGGACCATGTAGGGGACATGGTGGCTAAGACACTAGACTTTGCAGTAGACTGACTACAGTTCAAGTCCCAGACCTAGTTGCTCAGTTTCTTACTTTCTCTCTCTTTCTCTCGTGAGCACTTGTATCCTGTATCAAATTACAATAATAATAATAATAATAATAATAATAATAATGATAAATAAAGTTAAGTAAACTGATTCTTTGTAAAAATACAAAATTCTTGGGATCTGAAGTATCTTGGATTTGGGAATTTTTCAGATTTTGTAATAGCCGTATATCTGGAGGATGGGACCCTAGTCTAAATAAAAAATTCCTTTTTAAAAATAAATATCTTACATACATAGCCTGAGGGTAATTTTATACAGTATTGTTGTATTACAGCTTCTTTTTGTGAGTGTGTGTATTGTATTTTAAATTTGCTGTAGGCTACATGTATTTGCTCGAGAGAGATATAGAGACAAAGAGAACGGGAAAGGGAGAAATCAGTCTCTGTGATGGATGACTATGCTGCAGTCCCTTCTCCTCCATTTCCCTCTCCAGATATTGGGCATGCACATACATGTACCTGGTGTGTTTTTCAAGCTGCTGGGTCTGGGACTTGAGCCACGTGCTCAGCCATGTGGCATCCAGCTGCCTTAACTAGCATGCCACAACTGTCTTCTTTTCTTTCTTTATTTTTCTATTTTATTTTATTTTATTTTATTTTATTTATGATAGAGCATCTGTGTACGCACGTGGGGGAGAGAAAGAGAAGTAGTGGCTGCAGTGGGGTCGGG